GTCATATCAATTATATTCCCTCCGTTTTTAAATATTTGTTCCACTTTTCGTTTACGGCCGTTTTTAAATACTTGCTCCAATTTCTTATTTGGAAAGCTTTTATAATATTTAATCATTTTTCTCAACTAGTGGACCCAATATAAATCATACTACGTATTTTATTAACTTTCATATTTTCTCTCTAATTCTCTCAACTACTTTTGCTTTTTATATTTTTTTTATTCTTCCACCTATCCCACTATATCCATATTTTATTACTTTCTCCAATTCCTCCTAAAATTCCGCGCATGGAGAAATGGAGCAAGTATTTAAAAACGGAAGACGTCCTTAGAATTATTTTGTACAAAGAAAAAAAAAAAAGAAAGAGAAGGAGGAGGATAAGGACAAAAGAAGAAGATCCTTGTTTATTACTCCGTAATTAATTATTTTATTTGATTTTTTGAAATATATCACTCCGTACTAAGTAATGGTAATTCTATTTCCTAAATAAAAAGAAAAATTAATGGTATCTCAATAAACAAAAAAATTACCTACTTAACAGGTTAACGGTCACTTTGAACCAATAAAAGCGAATACATCCCAAAGTTCAGATTATTAAAAAATAATTCAAAATTCGTATTATTTAAAGTGAATACGTGAAAGTTGGGATTATTTTTACCAATTTTTCCTTTATGTTTAATATGTAAAAACTAGCTTTGTGCCTCGGGCGATGTCCAGATTGTTTAGCTATATGCCAAATTTTAAAACATATTATTTATACAAACAATGTTCAGCAACTTTTGGTGCAACAGGCTACACCGTGTCACCGTGTGGCAAACGTTACCCGAGTTATATTATTAGGGATTACCCGAGTGATTCAGTTAGGGGTTACTCGAGTTACTCGGTCAGGGGTAACTTGAGGGGTTCTAACAGGGGTTACTCGATGGGTTCACTCGGTCAAGGGTTACTTGAGGGGTTACTCGAGTTACTCGGTCAAGAGTTACTCAGTTAGGGGTTACTTGGTGATGGGTTACTCGAGTTACTCGGTGAGGGGTTATTCAAGGAGTTCGGTCAGGGGTTACTCGAGTAATTCGGTCAGGGATTACTTGAGGGTTCTGTTAGGAATTACTCAAGAAACAATAATCAATTGACCTCGTACTTGTAAATTTTTTTTAAGTAAATAGTACTACCACTACTCATAAAGTTGTGGGTGGTTTTGGGAAAAAATTTGGGCTATCTGATGGCTCTTAAAAGTGACGCAAGTAGCATGGTCAGAACAATGAAAAGAAATCAGTTTTGAGTTGCACCTATTTTCATGTTATTGGACGATATTTCTAAGATATGTTATCTTTCATGTCAATAATTGTACTCATGGTTGACAGGTGGATAATACGACTGCTCATCATATGGTAGCTAAGTGGGAGATCTTGTATATCACATTAATGCTTATTTGTCGTGTGCGACATAGCGAGAAGTTATCGACTTTATAAGATATTTATTGAAATTTATAATTTAATTTATATGTATGAAATATTGGAATTTTTATTGAAAATAAAACTCTAAATCAACATTTTGATCCTAAAAATCTATCCTTATTTTATTGAAAACTAGATGGAACCCCGTGCGATGCACGGTTTTTTCATCTAAGATTTTTAATTATTTGATTTATTGTATTTAATAATTTTAGACAAAAGTATAAAAGTTTAATATTTTTTTTTTACTATAATTTATAATGAATTTATTAAATATAAATATATTGTAAATATGATATTTTTTTTGTTATATAAAATCTTTAATGTGAAATGATAAATTTTTAATAATTTAAATCCTAAATCATTATTCATTGTTTTACCATATCTTTTATTTTGTTAGAATCACCAACCTCGTCCACAACCAACCTACTACATCAATGGATAAATTGAACCGTGAAATGTTAGCCAAACTGAAATTGATATAAATTAAATCTTTATATTTTTATAAGATAAATCAATATATTTACCAGGAAATGAAAAATTGTTGCGATATAAAATCAAATCTATGCATCGGAATTTCTTCATCATCTCCAAAAATAACCAAAGTCATCCATATATTAAGTATACAACATCTAATCGTATGCCATTATATAAACAAATAATCGTGAAGTATCCTAAATAAATACAGTGTAACTAATAATTACAAATATAAATTTAAACATAAGATTTTAAAAATTACCCGGACATTGATGACCTAAAACTAACACAAAATTCGCTTGATGGGGTTTTGTATTGATACGAATTTTATTTGTATCGTATGATGTGTTAGATCTGCATGTAAAAAAACATTTAGTAAATAAAACATAAGCATATTATCGTTGAGTATCCCAAATTAATACAATGTAAGTAATAATTAGAAATACTAATTTAAACATAGGATTTTAAAAATTAAGCTAAAAATTACCCACCCATTGATGACCAAAAATTAGCACAAAATTACTAACACAAAATTCACTTGATGGGGTTTTTTATTGATACGAAATTTTGTTTGTGTTGTATGATGTGTCAACTTTATAATGGTAGGTATCACAAATTTTAATTTAATTATAATTAACGAACAATTTGTATTTCTTATCATAAATACTATCAAAATTTATCTTATAATGATAGGTATCACACTTTATTATAAGCGTTTATCATTTAAATATTTTTTAGTATATTTTTTTTTGATTTCTTATACTCGTAGTATTGAATTAATAAATTTATCTTTTCCTATATTTTTCCTTTATTTTTTTTCTAAAATAATCTAATTCGTGGATTATAATCTACGTGGCATTAAAATTTTAGATATATCAAATCTAATTCGTTACTTTTATCTAGGTGGCGACATAATTTTTTAATTCAAAAATAAAATACAAATCTTTCTTCTTATTGGTCGAAATAAGTATATTTTTTTACGTGGCGCTCTGAATGCTCTCCAAAAATGCCTATATATATATTTATATATATATATATATATATATATATATATATATATATATATATATATATATATATATATTAGATTAAACTCTAAACTAACTTCTTTTTTTCCTTACAAAATCTATCTAAAACTATCCAACATTTTTATCTTACATGTCATACTAATAATTAGTTTTTACCTACGTGGCACGGCATTTGGCGAAAAGTTGAAATCTGTTGAGCTCTGTAAGAGAGATGATATTTAATATATTAATAGTACGAAGTCTAAAATTATGCAATAAGACCAACTTAAAAGACCTTTTCAAACAAATTTGTCATTTTTTTTTCAATTAACTCTTATTTAATAATTTAGGTTAATTATATAAACTAGCTTTTAGGCCCATTATACACACAGACTGTGTATAAGCTATCATTTATACTTAAAACTCATAAATTACTTGAATAACGTCATTTCATCATCTTTTGACATATTAGAAAAATAATTGGCTTAAAAATTGTTTAATCAAATTATCTAATTACATAGTAGTCAATCAATAATTCGTATAAAAAACTAATTATCAAACCTTGTCATAATTTTATATTTTTACATCAAATATAAAGTTCTTTACCAAATCAATTTCTCATAGAGTGCGCTTAACATCTTGAAAATAATGACCCAACGACATGCAAGCAATGTTATAAAATGGAATTTTCATAATATTCTTACATGAAACTCTTTTTAATTTCTTGACATATTCAATTCTCCCTTTTTCGTAGATAGCCTCAATTTTTTTCCTTTTTCTTATCATCATCTTTTTGAATTTTTTATACATAGTAATTTTTTTCTAATTATTTTAGGTTTATTTTTTTTATTTTTTTTTATTTTTTTTTTATTTTTTATTTTTTTATTTTTTTGCGTTTAATGCGTTATTTGTTCAATATTGTAGGAGTGTTAATGAACTTGGCTTGGTCACAAGAAAAAAGATCAAAATTCTAATATATGGAGTGGTTTGTTAGTATTTTCCAGCTAGAATTTAATATAATTTGTTATTCTTACGGTATATTGATTTTGAACTCATAAAGAATACTAAATAATTAATAATATTGAGTATTGCCGATTACGACGGAATTGATTTGACAAATTAGACTTAAAGCCCTAAAATTGACATCAACCTTAAATTCCATTCCTAGTCAGGACTCCCCTTGTTTTACTAGACTAAGTGTGCTACGAATTTGGCTAAGTAATGCTCACAAGAGATTTCAAAGAAGATTTTAATTAATTGAGAGAATTTTATAATTGAAGGTGTTGGATAAATGTACAAATGAATGGGGATGACCTATTTATAAGCATCCAAGCTCCTACCCTAGGATTCTAGAGAATTCCTAACCTCCTCAAATGGAGGGCTTTAGACTCCTACTCTCTAGATTGTCCCCACCTCCAAAGGAACTTCATACAAGGAGGTTCTACACACTTCCCTCCATGACTACTCTAGAACATTCTAGAATACTACAAGGTCTACAACTCTTATGTACAACTATTTCGGGTTGTTTGGTATGTGGGATTATGGGTTGGGAATGGGAATAATAATCCCTAGTCTTCGTAAACCCATATTTGGTTGGTGGAATTTTATCATATAAAGTGGGAATAGGCTTGGAATAATTAGCTTGTATTTCCTACATTTTATTACCCGGGAGGGGGCAGGTAATAAATTGGGGGGAATTCTCTAAACTATTAAAAAGACAATACTATCCCCTTTTTTGTGACACTATAGAGTGTATTTTATTCACCTGATTTTTATTTATCTGAACTTATCTTAACTTACCTGAACTTATTTTAACTTATTTTAGTTATAATTTGAACTTAGGCAACCCTTATCAAAACTTATTTTTTCTGAATTGAACTTATCTGACCTGAAATAAGTGAACTTATCTCCTACTCGACCACCATCACTCTCACCCCAAATGCAAACACGATCAAAACACGGCATCTTTAAACCTAACCCCAAGTTTGGTTTAACCGTGTTTATTTATTCCTCGCTTCCAAAAAATCACAAACAAGCCCTTTCAGACCCAAATTGGAATGCTGCGATGCGTGATGAATATAGTGCTTTAGTTGAAACGGGGACTTGGGATTTGGTTCCTAGACCTACGGGGGTGAACATTGTTAATTGTATGTGGTTGTTTCGTCATAAATTGAATGCTAATGGTAATCTTGAAAGACACAAAACTCGTTTAGTTTGTGATGAAACTTTCAGTCCGGTTGTAAAACCAGCCACTATACGCACAGTTTTGAGTTTGGCTATGGCTCGTAAGTGGTCTATTCACCAACTTGATGTGAAAAATGCCTTTTTGCATGGTGATTTAAATGAGTGTGTGTATATACATCAACTCCCTGGGTTTGTTGACAAGAGGTTTCTAGGATATGTTTGCAGGCTCCGCAAGGCTCTATATGGTCTTAAACAAGCTCCAAGAGCTTGGTATCAGTGGTTGGCTAACTATTTCTTGCAGATAGGGTTTGTCATTGCTAAAAGTGTCAATTCCTTATTCATTTTCCGGCATGAGAAAGACATGGCATATTTGCTATTATATGTTGATGATATTGTGTTAGTTACATCCTTAGATTTGTTACGTGACCGCATCATCTCGCGTACCGGATTTCCAATGACTAATTTAGGTCCTCTGAATTATTTTCTGGGCATTGCTGTTACTCGTACTCCTTCATATCTGTTTTTGTCTCAGCAGAAATATATATATGCACAGGAAATTTTAGAGCTCGCAGAAATGGCTAGTTGTAAACCTGTGGTGACTCTAGTGGATACTCAATCCAAGCTTAGTGCAGAGACATCACCTAAATTTCATGATCCAACACTCTATCGTAGTCTTGCAGGTGCATTACAGTACCTCACTTTTACTCACCCTGACATAGCTTATGCAGTTCAGCAAATCTGTTTATTCATGCATGACCTAAGACAGGCTCATTATGATGCATTGAAACGCATACTGCGTCACATTCAGGGCTCCATTGATCACGGGTTACATTTATATTCTTCATCATCCATGCACTTGATCGCTTATACTAATGCAAATTGGGGCGGGTGTCATGAAACTCGTCGGTCGACCTCGGGTTATTGTTGTTTTCTAGGGGACAATCTCATTTCCTGGTCTTCTAAGCGTCAGCCTACTCTTTCAAAGTCAAGTGCATAGGCATAATATAGAGGCGTCGCAAATGTTGTTGCCGAGGCATGTTGGCTTCGTAATCTTATTTTGGAGTTACATTGTCCTCTCCGGCAGACCACTATTGTTTATTGTGATAATGTCAGTGCAATTTATTTATCTCATAATCCCGTACAACAGCAACTCACCAAGCACATCGAAATGGACATTCATTTTGTTCGAGAAAAGGTGGCGTTGGGGCATGTACGGGTCTTGCACGTTCCATCTCATTATCAGTTTGCAGACATCTTCACGAAAGGCCTACCTCGACAACTATTTTTGGAATTCAGATCTAGTCTCAGCGTACGTCCTCCTTCCGTTATGACTGCGGGGGTGTGATAGAATATGATAAATATTCTAGAAATTATTCTGTATAGAAGGATATATCTTTGTGAATATTCAGTAAATATCTTTTGAGATTTCCTAACGTGATTAGGACTCGTCTTTATTTGTAACCATATATATATGAATCAATAGAAACACTCCAACCTAAGGAGTTTGAGATTATCTAACATATATAATCAAGTTATAATGAGAACCAGGGCTAAAATAAGAACTATGAACTAATCTAGGCCCTTGGATCATGTTAATCGAACGGTCCATGTGCTTCTCGTGTCATTAATGGCATTTTCATAATATTTCAACTTTACAAAGTAGTTTCCAGTTTCATTTCTAAAAAGTAAATGAAAACTTAGTAAAAGTAAATGAAATCAGTCATAAAGTAAATGAAATTGCCTTAAAAGTTAAAAATTGGAAAAAAAAAGTTTGAAATGTTGCGAATTTACAAAAATGCCATTAATGAGAACGGGTGAAACGTAAGTCATCGGATAGAGCGCGATCAATAGCTAAGATTGGTTCTTAGTTCTCATTATTCACCTAGGTGTGTGTATATATATATATATATGGAATTGCTAGAATGAGAAATGAGAAAATGAGAAAACCACTATATATATATATATGTGTGTGTGTGTGTGTGTGTGTCAAATGAGCGACTTCGGGTGTTAACCGGACCAATACCAGAGCACTTTTGATTCCTCCATGTCTTCTTTCAAAGTATTAACCAAAACATCAATCCGATGAGCTTATTTCACCATGGGCTCACTTGAATTTTCGGAAATGAGAAAGAGATATTTTCATCCCCAACATTTAAGGTAAGTCGCCCTTGTTTCATGTCAATGTTAACACCCGCGGTTTTCAAAAAGGGCTTACCCAATAAGAGAGGTATTTTGGAGTCCTCATTCATCTCCATTGCAAAATCACATGACACAAGAACTTTTCCCACTTGAATTGAGATGTCATTTAAGACTACCAATGAGACTCTAACCGAGTGATCGGCTAGTTGGATTGACATTTTGGTGGGGCTTATCTCCCCAAGATTCAACCTTTTGGCCATAGAAAGAGGCATAAGGCTAACACTAGCCCCAAGATCACACAAAACATTCGTTGATTCCAGATCCCCAACCTTCACCAGTATAGCACTATAGCCACACCCGTATCTGACCCAGGGCCCACCGAAAAAGAGGGCCCAGCTTTCAGCTTTTAAGTTCAGGAATATAGATATTTTTAATTTAGAGATGCATTTATCATCATGTTGTTTGTGTAGCTTGGTTGTTAGGGTAAATTAATGAGTTCAAAGTTCCTTAGTCAGCAGTTTGAACACCATTAGCAATGGATTGCTTTTTTTTTCTTCCTTAAGAGCAAGATTAGCCCTAGGTTTTAAGACTCTAGGTGACATCATCAATTTTTGATTATGTGGTCTTAAGATAAGACTTTTTATTTTTTTATGCATTTATGTGGCTTGGTCTTAACAAAATCTCAAGTCAACTTAAGACTTCTACATTGTGTTTTTAACTATATACACATCAAAACACAGTGTTTTGATTAAAAAAAATTAATTAACTTTTTATTTTTTAAAAACATTAATTATTTGATTTATATAAATTTTTTTGGTAAATGTACGTTGTATTTTTTTTTTTGGAAACAAAGTGTATATATGCATCCTGTTGCAGCAAGACTCACTAGAAGACATCATTAATTGCAACATGATTTGGTTGAACATATTTGGAGTCGTTTTGGGGGAAGTGATATTTGAATTCAGATCAATTTTACATAAGTCAATTTTACTTTACATTACAACTATTTTAATGCAATATGTGTTTTTTTATTTTTTTTATTTTTCATATATTTTGAAATCTTTTAATTTCATGTAATTCCATTATATTTTATTTTTATGCATCATCTATATTGCATAATGTGAATTCTAATATTAAAATATAATATGTTAAAGGGAAAAAAATAATAATTTTTTTAAAGAAATCTAGAATGAGTCTTAGGGATGAAGAGATAAATCTGATTGAGTCTTAAGGAGTCTTAGCATAATTTTAAATTAAAAAAATAATTAAATTTAAGTTAATAGCGGATGTGGCAATATATTTAAGTTTTAAAACAAGACTGCGCTAATCTTGCTCTAAAATACCATATATACTACGTATATATAAACCACTTATATAACTATAAGAGGGCAATATCTTTTTTTTAAGGAACTTTTTATTTCTATGTTTATATAACTGTAGCCTAAATTCTTGTTATTTTTCATATTATTATTTTTTTAAAATATAATTATAGCTTAGATTTTATTATTCTTGCTATTATAATAAAATATCTATGGTTATTTTCCTAAAAAAAATATATTATAGATTATGATCAATGATCAATTTCATTTGTAAGAGAGAATCGATCATAATTCTTTTATGTATTTTTTTTACATACATAGTTGTAGAAGTATATATTATTTTACCATTGTATATAGTTTACCTTTTTTAAAACAATAGTCAAAACTAGATTATTTATTTTTCTCAAAAAAAAAAAAAAAAAAAAACATAATAAAAAAAATTACTCTCCAATATTTTAAAAGAAAGTACATTAAAAAAAATTCCAATAATAATTGCATAAAAATCAAAGGGATACCCTAAGCTTTGTATAAACCAATATCACAAATGGCAAAATCCATTAAAGCTACACAACAAAAATAGGGGTAAAACCGTAAACTTTCGTATATCTTGTCAGTTCATCCCGTACATTTCCTTATACAACGTACTATTCCTTTTTCGCGCCTCATAAACCCCAACACTGTTACACACTTACACCACCACCTTTTCCACTTCTCTTACGCATACTTCACATTTCTCTCTCCTCTTTCCAGAATTCCGGTACTACTTCTCCGTTAAACGCCGCCGAATTTCGTCTCTTGCTTTTGAAGTTACTGGAAACGTCGTGAATTCGCTTTTGATCGTCGTAATATTGAGGTTTAATTTCCATTTTTGGCATAATTTTGATCTTATTTTTTGGTTATTTTTGGAAATATTCTCTTTTTTGTTAATCTGCTGAAATTGTGTATGTGATGCTGTTTTGTATGAGTTTTTTCATTGTTTGTTTGCATTTTTGTAGAATTATCATGTTTATTAGTATTATTACTATTAAGCGTTTGGAAATGTTGATGTTTTTGTTGAAAAACTTTGATTTTGTATTGTTTTCTATGTTATTTTTGACGATGAATTTGTGGAAAATAATTTATTTTTGACGATGAATTTGTGGAAAATAATGTGAATTTATACTTCAATTTAGTTTATTTATTTCATTGGATGTGCTTAGGGATACATGTTGTGGGTTTTGGAAAGTTATTAGGTTCATGTTGTTAAATTTGATGAATTTACTTGTTTGATAGATGTTTAAAGCGTTGTTGTCACCTTTAACGATTTAAATTGATGATTTCACTATACAATTACACTAAATTTGAGCTTAAATTATGGATGATGTAGCTTTGCCTTGATGTTGAATGGATTGTGATTTATTAGAGTAATGGCTATTGTTGTACGTTTGAGTTAGAGAATTGTAATTTTGAACATCCAATATTGAAGTTGCTCTACTTTATGGTCCTTGTCTAGAAAATACCCCACCAGTCTCAGTAATAGTCACATATGCTACTTTGGGATGTCCGAAAGAAATGTATGTTTTTATGTGAAATTGTGATGATTGACAATTGGATTTCCCAAAGCCCCATTGAAATTGTGTGATGGATAGAGTGTAAGAGAGATATTTTACTTTAGGTTCTTTTAGTAGAATCATGTTCTTAATTATCTTTGGTGCGAATGTGCAATTATTAATGAGTACTATATATGGATGGAGAGAGTATTATGCTGCATGCAACGATTTTCTTTGGGTTTGAAATTTTTGCTGAGCGATTTCTGTTATTGGGTTGAGTATGAGAAAGATGGTGTCACGTTGTTGATTATACAGCATTGTTTAGAAAATTGCATATGTAAACACAGTATGCAGTATGTTAGGGTGACTAAGATTATTAGCTCATATCTTCAGATTCTTCACTCCTATATTTGAATTTGGTTACAAAATGATTAATTGACCTTTTTTTTTCCAATAATTAGCTCAACTGCTCAAGTATTATGTGAACTGACCCAGCTGGTTTTGTCTAGTGGTAAATTGCAGTCAACAACAATGTCTGTGAGATGTGTGTTTAGGGTGTAGTAATTTTAAGGTTTAATGCAGTTATTCAGGTCCAGCCATTTGAAACCTCTGGGTGTTTAGTAAAAGTTGGTGATGATGGTTTTACTTTGTTTACAGAGTTACAGGGTTACATCAAGTTGTTTTTTCTCATTGGTAGTTTGAACCCAGCACATTATTAACCAGTAATTGTGTTTAACTGCTTATGATCTGAATGGTGGATGCTGTATATCTTACCAGTTCCCTGGAGAAATTAGGATAACTTGTTAAAACATAATGTCGGTTTTAAGTTAACAGTAGAATCATGTTACGGCCTTACTGGATGCCTGAAAAGGATGTGTATAAATTTATGATTTGTGCTTAGGAATTATAATCCTGGGAAACTTATATTGCTTTCTTTTATTACCATTACCAAGCTTCTTTTTTCCTTCATTATTTGTTTCGTTTTGTTTTAATTGTGTAAATATGTATTG